TGAGCAAGTCGCGGGGCTGCAGCACGCAATCTACGCTGACGACATCACGATTTGGACAGCGCACCACTCACCATACATGGGGAAAGTGATGAAAGCCGGCGTAGAAATTGTCAAAGAAGAAGCTGCAAAGATGGGTCTGGAGCTTGCGACTGAAAAATCGGCGCTCCTAGTCAGACCACCGTCGCAGAGAGCTCTAAGAGAAGAGATGGAATTCTACCTCAAGCTGCAAAAAATCGACGTACCGAGAGCCGAAAAAGTTCGAATTCTCGGCATGACGGTAACCATCAAGAGGGAGCAGAGCAGTCTCATCGCTGACATCAAGAGAAACGCCGACAACGTAGCGAGACTCGTGAGAAGAGTATCACGAAAGAGCTACGGATTGAAGGAGAATGGAACATGCCGACTAGTCCAAGCCTTCGCCCTCAGCAGGATAATGTACGCGGCGCCGTACATGAATCTGACCGAGGCTTCGATCAAGCAACTCAACTTAATTGTGAGGAAAGCTTTCAAGATAGCACTGAGCATACCAGTATCCACGTCTACAGAAGCGATGGAACAACTAGGAATATACAACAGCTTCGAGGAAATTAGATCTGCACAGAAGCAGTCGCAAGTACTACGGCTCTCTAGAACGGAAACGGGACGCAGGACTCTCCAGAGAATCAAGGAATGTGAACAACACGTCCTCACAAGCAGAAATGCAATATCCTACGAATGGAAAGATTCGGTACGAGTTCCGCCCCTACCGAAAAACATGGACACCGAGAGAAATAAGGACAGGAGAGAAGCCAGAGCCAAAGCACTGGACAAGCTCCACGGCGACCGGGAACATGTTTACCACGCAGACGCAGGCCCGTGCCCAGGAACATGGAACAAGTACGTGATAGCAGTCTGCAGCACCAACGACAAGACTACGGCCTCTGTCTGTGCGGAGAATATTGACGAGGCAGAAGAAGTAGCCGTTGCCTTGGCCTTAACCATGGCGGCATCCAGAACCAAACAAGCCACAATCACCTCAGACTCGAGAACGGCCATCTCGAACTTTGGTGATGGAAAGGTTGGCAAGGTAGCCCGCATGATCCTTCAGAAGAAGACACCGCAGACAGGATCCAGATTCTCGTTAACCTGGGTGCCCGGACACTCTGGACACTCGGGAAACGAAGAGGCCCACGCATTCGTAACCCGTGCACAACAAATCCGGGCGACGAGCTGCCGAGCCACAACGGACGGAGACCACTGCTACGGGGCCGCGCCATACGACAGAGGCCCTCGAGCGTACAACGATATTCTAAGAAGTATCCGAATGCAGCGCAAGTTCATGGGCGCCCCTCATAAGCGACTCTCGCGAACCCAAGAATGGACGTGGAGAAGACTTCAGCTACATAACACCCTAACTCCCCACATGCTGAGCAGAATCTGGCCGGATCTCTTCAGCGACAAGTGCGAGGAATGTGGTAGTGTTGACGGTGGCTGGGCGCACACGTATTGGACGTGCCCGAGCAACCCGATACCAGCCACGCTCCAAAGCAGACTGGACGATCAAGACGAAGACCTTCCCTGGTGTGTGCTCCTGGCCTCAGAGGACTACGAAACACAGTTGGCAGTGATTCTAAGGACACTAGAAATAGAGCATCGGTTAAAGACCCGATTGTCGGAAAGAAGATCCCTCCCCTATTCCCCTCCCTAACGAACCCTCGTTTTGGGCATAAGCCCATTTAATAAGGTTCAATAAAGTTGCTGACTGACTGACTGACTATTACTCCAACTGTTTAAATGATTTGCGCGGCACACAAGTGCCGGTTTCGGCTGAAATTTGGGCAACGTGGCCTGCGACGTGCCTGGAACCCAGTTCAATCGCCAGAACGATGTCTGAAATCGCCTTCATTGTCCCTTTGAGGAAAAGGATGGCGCGAGCTTCCAAAAATGTTTACTTTCCCAACAAACGGGTGGCGATATCTGTTGGCAGGCTTATTCCCGAATAAGCTTCCCAAGGAAAGGCAGCGAGGCATACCGTCCTTTATTTGCTCTGATGTTTTTCTTTCACAACATTTTATAGCTCGCAAACGGACTCTTCATTTGGGAGAAAAGCAATTTCAGAAGTAAAGATTAGTTTTCTCGAAATTACTGCCTGAAAGTAGTTAATTACATTACTAAATTACAAGTCGCAAAAGTAATTCATTGCATTACTCATTACAAAAAGAAATAATTTAATTGCTGTAATTTTATTACAGTAATGTCATTACTGCCACCTCTGGATGATTCAATACAGCCGTCGGTTCACCGCTGCATTTCTTAGTTTGCGCTGCATCTTCTGATCCATATCAAACAACACACTCGCAAAAAAAAACAAAAAAAAAAGCACCTGTACACGATTTAGCCAACCCGGAGTCAACAACATGGGTTGCCTCAAGCCTCCTAGTCGCAAACGTACAGGACGTATCTCCAAAAAGAGTAATGATGAACGTGAGCTACTAGATTATAAATTATAATTACATTTAAATAGCGACACGTGAATATAATATTACTAACAATTGCTCAACAAACCTTTATTTAATATGTTATGTTTAGTTTCCGAAAGAGTTGCTAGTGGCGTTGCGTTAGCTCTCGTGACGCCTTATTCTGCAGCGGGTTGAAAACGTACTAAAACACGAAAACCCGGCTCCGCTGCGGTATATTTAACGGAGGTCACAACAAATTGCTTACAGAGTTGAGGTAGTGACTGAATGATTTACTAAAACTCTCCGCGCGGGCTTTTTAACTGTCTGACTCGGGCAACGTGATATTTTCAAGCTGTTACATTAGGTCAAGAAAGTCTGATTATAGTTTTCTAACGCGATTCAAAAGTCATGGTTCGTGTGTCCACTCCCGGCTTTTCTAGGGAAAAGACTCTACATAGAAAATGAGAACAGTATTAAATATCTGTAATACCTGCGACAAAGCATAACCCAATATTTCTTATCTGCTGTTGCAACGAATCTTGTTAAAACAGGTTATATTGTTTGTTTCAAAAATCAATTGAAATATCTGAGCAATTATTAAAATTAGTGATTACCCCAACAAAACTGAAAATAGCTTACACCGGTGCTGGACAAGGCAGTCAAGATATAGCTTGATTGCAATAGCTTGATGGCAATGTTCAGCACCAGTGTACTATGTTTCAGCACTGCATTCTAAACATGACTCATCAAACCAAGCTTACAAATATAATTATTAAATTTTATTTAATTAACCTAATGATCGATGTTTGCTTTGGTCAAGCTGTTAAATTAAAATATGTTGGTTGTGGTGGTGGTGGTGGTCGTGGTTGTTGTGGTTGTTGTGGGAGTTGTTGTGGTTGTTGCGGTTGAGGAGACAATTAAAATAAGTATTAAGTACCAGTAATAGTTGCTCCGCGTTTCCGCTTTCCGTTGTTGTGGTAGCTGCTGTGTTGAGGATACAATTCAAATATATATGAAGCACGAGTAATATTTGCTCCGCCTTCTGTGTTTACGCGACAAATGATGGCAGTCACCAGCCAAGTCGGATTCAAAAATAAGACTGCCATATAATATATAGATACAGTGCGAGGTTAAAGTAAGTAGAAAAAGGTGAGAGTTCGGTATCGCTGCGTTGTTGCTGTTGTTTGGGTGTCCTGCTTGTGCTTCCTTTTATTCCGCGTGTTCAGCGTTCTAGTGCACTTACGATATAGCGTTTGGAAGTCGGGGCAAATTGAAAAACACAGTAAAGCTTTTCCAACTTTTTATTTTGCGGTTTCAGCGCCATCTGGCGGAAGTTATATCAATTACACGGAAGGAAAAAGTTTTCTCAAAAACAGGGTGGCAATTTTTTCTCCTTTTTTAAAGAATTAACTTTTTCTCCACAAGCAAAAATAACTTTCCTCCCTTCTTAGGGGAGCAAATATTCTCGTTCTAAAGGAGGAACTTTCCTCCCTTTCTAGAGGAACATATCGGAGACGTGAGTTCCTCCTAAACGAAAGAAAAATACTACTCCCATTTTTTTTTACAATGCAGAAAGCTCGTGCTTAGCTTCAGGGACTGTTAGAGTTCGGCTATTCTCGTCACCGGAATGGCTGGACACGAGCCCCTATCCAAACGTTCGTCGAGGCATTAATTGCTACGAACCAAAGTCGACTGCTCACGCAGTTCTCTCGTCCAATTCATGAGCCGCGCTCGACTGTCGCCAGGCGGGCGGTTTTGATCCCTCAATTACGTCATCAAGCTTTACGAAGGCAAGACTAAAATAAATAGTCCCCTTTTATGCTCGCGATTTCAACACGACCGAGAAATTTATGAATAAATGGCGGTTCATGCGAGTATACTTGGGCCAGACTAAGAACAGTACGCCTCTGTTAAGGCTTGGAACATTCCAACCCGATATGGTTTTATGACCCCTTTAAAGGCTTTCCATAAAAAGATACTATGACGTACAAAAAGTGCTTTAAGCACGCGAGCTCTCAGCAGACAGTGGATTAAGGCATGAAGGGAAAATATCTGAAAGCTAAGAAAACAAAAGCTACAAGGAACTGAAATGTGCCCATTTTATATTAAAACAAAATTTAATAAATAAAAGTGAACGATATCAACTTAAGGTTTATATGTATTTCGCACAAAACATAAACGACCATGGTATATACCTTGCTTAGGGGCGAGAGTGTGGTCTGGTTTGATACAAGTTTTAGGTTCTATAACATTAATGTGGCAATCTTGGTCAATTGATTCGTGATCATAGACAGGCGCCGAAAAAATAGACAGGTTCATGGAATGTCGCATAAATAGAGAGAAGACTCATTGAGCACTATTTTGTTTTCTACACAAAAAAGAAAAGATGGTAGCTATCTTTTAATGACTTTGAAACGACTTAACACTGAGCTTCCTTTCTTCCTCTCACTAGTTGCTTTCAATCGCTCGTTATTGCTTTATTTCACTTCTTCCTCACGGACGAATAATATGTTTCACTTTCTTTATTTTTTTCTCTTTTTTACAGGTGAAAGAAATGATGCGCCTAACGGTTATCGTCGCCATTTTTTACTACCTGTCGACCACTGCGATGTACGCCTCCGGGGACGGTACGATACAACGGGCACCCAGAACACTCTCGGGGCTTTACACTGGTCACAGTATAGACCTTTCCAGCGTTTATCACAAAGGCGACGCATTGCCTGTCGTCTCATATATCGTGAAAGAGACCTACTGCGCGCACTCAAAATGCCTTCCACAACCCTGTAGACAAAAATGGCAGCGCAGAGAAGGCGATTATTCAAAACGTTTACGCAGTGCGCAAGTTCGTCTGCTTCTTGCGGAGGGGGGTTGCAGTGACGTCACAACGCCAAGCTCCGATTGGTTCTGATTGGAGGGCTTAGTGGGTAGACCTCAACGCTGGCTGCATTAAAATCTGCTCGCCATCCT